CAACAGCGACATGGTGCGGGGCACGCACATACTTTGGACGACGAAATATACTTGATATGTGATGAAGTACCGATCCACATGTACCTGCGCCGACGGCGCCTGATGTACTTGGCCAGAATGGCGCATGCAGACACGCCCTTCCTCCACCGCCTCATCGACGAGCTTCGGGGGGATGATAAAGCCTGGAATGCCCTTATCGTCGAGGACCTGGACTGGATAAGAAGATTCCTACTAGACGACGAGGACATTGGCTGCGACATCAGGGGCTTGGTACGATGGTTACGAACGCAGCAAGTGCAAGCCGCACAAGCCATGATCACGCGTGCGTGGCTCAGGTACAAGGCATGGCAGCACGACTTATACCGACATCGAATATGGCAAAGGCAGTTACACCGTCTAGCGCAAGAGTTTGGACTGACCACGCCCAACTTCGATGGACTGCCGCCTGCACAACACAGTGGCTACATATGCTATGAGCGTGGCAAGATCCTAAAAACTCGGGGAGCATGGAAGCGCCATCGCACCATGGAGCACATCGGCTACGACCTCCCCGAATTGCTTGCCCGTTCGACAACCTGCCCTGGGTGTGGGAAGAACTTCATAACGCGATCGCGCATACTCAAGCACCTGAGAAGGCGCCCCAGGTGCCTGGCTGTACTCCAAGCAATTGAAGTCCCAATGGATTTGCAGGAGGCAGCCGAACGCCGAGAAGAGGAACGAGAGGCTGTGGCGACGAGGAAGGCAATGGGGCATGGAGCTACAAAGGCGCTGGTGCCCGCCCAACAGGTCATACACATCAAGCTTGCCGACTACATCGAGCAGCATCAGCTCCAGCTCCGCCGGCGCCGCCTGCAGCAGCGGACCCTCAACCAGCGGCGCCACCTGCAAGCGCACTCGCACCGTGCAGGCCCATGGTCACTACGGCTATGTTCTTGCTGCACCTTTTCTCAGGCAGACGCCGAACCGAGGATTTCCAGCACCACTTCGAGATGAACATTCGGGCATGCAATTTGGTAGTATTATCGATCGACGTGCAGATAGACCCCGACAAAGGAGATCTGACGAAGCCAGACGTCGTCGAGTTTTGGTGCGCGGCGATACGACAGGGCAAAATATTTGGCATTGTGGCGGGCCCCCCCTGCGAGACGCGGTGCTCATCGCGCTGGCATGCCGCCGAGGGGAAAGCTCCACGGCCACTACGTACACACGACTTCCCCTGGGGCATACAAGCAGCCAATCAAGCGGAGCGTCAACAGATAGCACTAGCCAACGAGCTATACAGGACAGCTCTACTACTCATCACCACTGGCTTGCAGTACAACGTATCTGCCGTACTCGAGCATCCCGCTCCAGCCACCTGGTGCCCTCGAGCGCCTAGCAGCTGGCAGCGAGCAGAGACGCTCTGGCTTTTGGAGCAGACGAGCGTCGAACTGCACTACATAGACCAGTGCCAGTTTGGGCAGGCCGCGCGAAAGCCAACATGCCTGATGGCGGTACACCTCAGTGAACTTACACAGGAGCTGGGGGCGGTACCTGGGGGACAGCTATGCCGACATAACGGACATGACAGAGCTTACGGACGAGACGGCCAAGGCGGCTGGAGGACCGCCCCCCTCAAAGAATATCCTTCAAGGCTGTGCAAGGCAATGGCTACTGCATTCGCAGCCCACTGGGGACAGCTTGCTGACGAAGAGGCAATGTGGGCCGAAACGGATGAATGCTATCACAGTCTCTACGCCCCCTTGGACTACTACATCGAGCCAGAGCAGCTGGGCCACGACTGTCACAGGGCATGGGGTAACCAACGGCGCTAGCAGCTGACACTGCAGCGGCACTACGTTTGCCTGCACAGATATTCGAGTTTAATTGTTTCAGGATTATTCATACTTGCCAGTCCCTGGAAGGGACCATCGGTTTGCAGTTTGGCGCAGACTATTGGCATCTTACAGATTGGAGGGCAGTTGGTATTACAGAATGGTGTACAGTCGGGTAATATTTCAGAGTGGCAGCAGGCGCGTCAGCATCAGCGCACCTACTGTATGTACTCAAGACCCGCATTGCTACTGGGTTATTGGCACGGCTGCGTCTTGGACAGCGATTGCGTGCCATACTCGAGGGGGGGGGACCCGTAGCGCCCATACGGGTGGGCACGATCCCTCAATGGCGACGGAGCGTGCCCCCCCCCTCGAGCACTTTCTGGATTTATTGGCTTTCTTTCAACACAGGCATTTACTTCTATGATTATCCAGCGCCCTGGACAAGGCACTACGGTGCCATGGTTTAAGTCCTGAGGAAGCCCCGAATGCGAGGGAAGACCTCAGGCAGCGTCGCCAAGTTTTGCCCTGGTTAGAACGCAAGTCCTGGGGAAGCCCCGAATGCGAGGGAACGCCCCAGGCACAAGTCGCCACGTTTTGTTGGGTACCCTGGCGGCGACTGGCTACCTACAACTTGGACGGCGCCAGCTGGCTGGCAGCGGGCGGTCCATACGCCGCCGGCGTACTACTGACCGACATCGACAGCATACCCAGCACGACCCCGCATACCTCCTGTCAAGTCAACGCTGTCCTGGTGAGGATCAAACTTCGAGACGGGCTCGAAGGGCGGGGGGGAAGGACGAGTACTTCCCGCGCCCACCAGCGAGGATGGTGAGGGGCAGGGGGGGGGGTAGGACGGCCACTACCTGCGCCCCCGCGGTCCGCCCTAGCTCGCCACCCCCACCATTCCCATGGAGAAGGAGGAGCTACCCGAGCGCCCGAGGGCGAAGCACAGGACAGCCGAGACATCCCACTCCGACGATAATAAGTACCAGGCCTGGGGTTCGCCCCCACCGAGGGCACTGTGACCCCTAGCCATAGCGGGACGAGGTGGGACAGCCAAGACCCCCACTTGAAGTCGGTGCATGGAGGCCTTGGAAGCCCACAACCAACGCAACACCAGCAACGATCCGACCCCCAACGACCTGACCAGCACGCTCCACACCCTGCACTCAGCCCTACAAACGACCGCCATCTACAACCTCCGAGATCAGCACCCTCCTGTACTGCAGAGGCGGGGGTGGCATGACTGACGACATCGGATACTACGGCTAGTGAGTACCAGTACGACCAAGACTGGACAGGATCAAGCAGGAGTACCAACCCGTCCAGCGCGGCTAGGACGAGGGATACGTGTTCGAGCACCACAGTGTCAGGCAGCACTGCAGGTTCAACATGGAGTACTCGACGAGAAGGGGCGGCCTGCCCCTCGGCGAGGGATACACAGCGCCAGGCGCCGAAGGGTGTACCCCCGTCGCCCTCGCGTGGCATGCGAGGGGCCGAGGCCAGCCGGCCTTGATCGGCATGATGACGAGAGCAGCCGCTGCAGACCGCTGGAGCCCAAGAGCGGCTCGGCGGGCCTCCACAGCGCGCTGCGCCGAAGGGTGGAGGCCGCCGCAGCTGGCGGCAGCCAGCCACCCGAAGACCCCACGGCGGCTGGGCTCAGCGCGAGGCGCCGAAGGGAGCCCAGCCGCCACCCACGCGGCCGCCAGCCCACAAAGAGGCCGACGGCCTGGCCGTGCGCCGCGCTGGCTGACGCCCGCTGGCGCGGGCGCGCGCGGCGCCCGCCCGTGGGCCCTGACGGGCCCCCTTTTTTCTTTTTGCTGAAACCCGGCCCCCCTTCTCCCTCCTCTGAGGTTTAACTTGGTCCCTGGTTCCCTCTGCTTTCCTCGGGGTCGGGTTCCCGGGGCCGCTGTCCGAGTGCCCGCACGGCCCTGGAGGGCCGCTGCGGCGCGCTCCGCGCCCGCGGGGCGCGCGACAAGACGCTGCATAGCGAGAAATGAGAAATGAGAGGAGGAGGCGGAAGAGGAGGAGAAGGGCACACCAAGAGGAAGAGAACGAACCCCGGCGCAAGACCAAGAAGAGAAAGGATAGATCACGAGTCCAGGCACGCGGCGGCGGCAGAGGAGGCAGCAGAGAGGGCTGCAGCCCTCGCCAGTGCCCGGGCGAGACGGACGAGTTCCCACTAGGAAGAACCACCACTCCACTAACTGGAGCACAAGTGGCAGAAGGAGGAGGAGGAGTAGGAAGACGAAGAGGAGGACGGCTTGAGACACTGTTGGACGTGTTTGCCTTCTCGGCTGATTGTTCGGGCCACCTCCAAAGTTGGCGACGAAGGGAGGCCACCCATGGGTCAACAGCAAAGCCCAGCGACAGGCGTGCGAGACACGGGTCTTGAGATTGGACGAACATCGCGGGAAGCTGTTCGGCAGGAGGTCGTTCGGGTCGCCACCTACGCAAGAGAGAGCTGCCAGGAACCAGCACATGGCGAACGTGCAGCGGCAAGCGCTGCAACGTTTCAGCCCCAGGACATGGCAGATCTTTCGTGCCATCCAGATGTTTAAGCGGCCAGCTCAGCGCGCGAGCGAAACTTCCTGCGACGTAGACGCCGCAGTGCTCAAGGTCAAGCCCGCGCGCGCGCGAAGGCGAACCCATTGATGGAACAGGCTGTGACTGGACGGCGTGAGCAACTGATTCAGAGCCGCGTTGCGTTCGTTGCGCCACGCTTGTGACATCGGATCACGGGAAGATAAAGAGAAGGGTCGCACGCAGTATATACTGAGCATCTGCTTGCAGTGTGTACTGGGCATCTGCTACCGGTGATTGCTCGTGCCGCACACTAGCGTAGACGACAACGACGGCGACAACGACGATAACGACAACGGCGACAACGTTCCAGTAGGGGCCCGACCACAAGAAACCTTCCACAAGAAACCCAACCCTGAGACCCCAGGACATCTATTGATGTTTCGTGTAGGAACGTCACGATTTCCATCGCAAAACCACCAAAACCGAAGAAACCCAGGACACCCTGGGGGCAAGCAGGGTGTGTCTTGGCATGGGCCTCCACTGCTTTGCTTCCTCCTCGTTGCCGTCCGCCCGTCTCAGGGCGGGAGCCCGAGGCGGGCCCTCTCCCCGCGGCGGCGGCTGCGGGGAGAGGGCGGCAGAGGAGGGCCGCCCGCGCGC